AAACCCAGAGTAGCAATTAATATTTTGTTGCTTACTTCAGAGAATTGAATCCCGGTTATAAGGTTCAGTCAGTGTGTTAGTCAGTGCTTCAGTTTACACTTGTGATGTCTTGTATGCTGGTTTACCAAATGCAAATGGAATAATAACAATAAAAAGACAGTATCTACTTCTTTCAGGAGAGAATTGCGTTACACAAACTTACAAGAATAGCCAACTTGGAGACTAAGTGGCATTCTGCAATGTTTGAGTTTGTCAAGAGAGAATATGTAATACAAGATTTCATTTAGTGGCTGAAACCAAGCAGATGAAACTCAATAATTTCAATAATAATGTTAAAAATTTGCTTTTATTGTAAAAACCAAGTGTAGTACAATATATTTTATATTTAATCTGCAATGATATATATCAAGCAGAAAATTGCTAGAACAAAAATCAAACCTTTTGCATAAGCCATCCATTGCATCATATATCCCAAACCTAAGTGAATAGCTATAATTCACTACAACTATAATTCAACACATACTGTTTAGGCTATATCAGAAAATATTAGACATTTGTCCCTCTCCAGTGTGTTACATTATTCAAATATTTAACAATTTTCTTTTTTAAATTAATTGTTATATATAGTATTTAAATTTATTTAAACTTTACATAAATAACAAATCTGAGCATAATATGTAAAAAATACATATATAAAGATGAAGAATTATACTAATGACTCAAAATAATGCATTTTATTATTAATTTTAAAAAAATGAAATGATTTAAGTGAAACATTAACAACAATAAAAGTTGAATGAAGAAAAAAGTGGAGTGATTGACCTGCCAGATATAATGATAAGCAAATGATAAATATATATTTATACTTTGGCTGTTATTTGTTTACATGAAAAATTTATATAGCTTAACAGAGGTGATATATACATAGATATGTATATATATCAATATATATTTTTCTTAAATATAATATTAAAATTAAAATAAATGTTACTGTACACATTTTTATATACTTTTTATTAAGTTGAAATTTTGCATACATATGTATTTCTGATGATTCATATATATAATTAATTTTTTTTTAGTTTGCAAACAATTTTAACAATTAGCAAAAATTAGTGAAGAATTAAAATATATAAGTAAAATCTGATAACAGATGTAACTGAATAATTGTGAGTGATGTTTAAGTCATGGAAAAGTGGCAAGCCTTGCTCCTTTTTGTACTGTCTACATAAAATCTTGTAAAAGTTGAAAATAAAATTGTTTTACTTTTTAGTGCATTTATGTGAATAAAAAACATTACTTTTTTTAATTAAAAATTAATTTGGAAATTGAACATTTTTATATTCCTAAAGAAACATTTTTAGATCTTTTACTTTTATATAAAAATTGTGTTCATAAAATATGTGTAGAAAGTAAAATATAAAACACTTCAGTAATAACAACTACAAAAATATTATAATTTGAAATATATTTTTTAAACCATAGTGATTTATGCTATATTGCCTAGTACAGTAGTCCCCAGCCTTGTAGTAGTAAGTCCCCAACCTTGTTGGACTTACAGCACACTTAATCATGTGAAGCTTGCAACCACTATTATTAAATATTACTAGACTGGCCAACAGGTTTATTATGGAGCTAATACTTTTTCTGTGACAGTTTAATGATACAAACTTCTGGAATATAGCTGATGACACATAGAAGTAAATTCTGTTATTCTTTACAAACTTAAAAATTTAGTGCTTTAATTTTTTTTATTCATTTCATGACACACTTAGAATGGTATCATGGTACAGCAATGTATTGCAGCACACTGAGTGGGAACCACTGCCCTAGTATAAATTAAGAATATAAAATACTATGAGAATCCAAATTTAATTTTTTATTTTATTTAAAAGTTAAAATTATTACAAAAGTAATAAAAAATTGAACATAACATTAATTTCTTCTTTAATTTCCTCTAAAATACTATCTGTTTGTAATTATCAATGAATTATTCCTGATGTATAATGAATTCCTGATGAATTGAAGATTTACAAATATAATTTTATACTATTTAATTTGACTCTACATAGACTTAATATTATTTTAAAATACCTGTACTATATCAATCCTGGATTATGCTTTAATATATTATGTAGTTTTAATTTAATATTTAGATATATTTAAACTGTTATTAAACTGGAATATGAAATGTGTTAAAATACATAAAACAAATTTGATGATAATTTTATTTAATCTTCCTAGATTTTTAAGATTGCTGATTATTTAAATTTACAGTAGAGCATCAATTATCCGACCCCCGATTAACCTTCACATCGGTTAACCGACTGTTCTAGTCGGCAAATTCAAATGTCCGCTAGTGATGTGGTGCAACAATATTTGGCTATGTCTTGACTACTTTAATAGTATTTTTACATGTTTTAGCTAGCAACATGGCTCGACCATGAAAGGGAGCCAGTATTTAAACGAGGCTTAATTTTCTAATTTTTAACAATATAATAGCAATGATTATTATTTTAAAAAAATTTTTGTTAGGCTTAACATTGATGAAAATTCAACGCGAAGTAGGTTAATAGCGATATACTAATTACATGGATATACTAATATACTATACTAATAATGTATTTTTTCATATTTTTCAGTTATCCAACCAACCTCAGTCCCCAATTGAGTCAGATAATCGATGCTCTACTGTATTTATAAATTAAATATACACTTATGATTAATCATACTAATTATAATTAAATTTATCATATATTTATGTATATATATTATATATATGTTATGGACAAAGTGATTAATCGGGCATTATGTATAATGACCAAAACAGGCACGCAGTGTGATAAATATTCATTAATTTATCAAATTGACTGGTCATTATGAATACTGCTATTACCTAGTCAGGCAAAGTGATAATAATAAGTTGAAAAGTGATCATCCGACATACACTAGCCAATTGCCATTCTGAGTTGCTGATTGTATCGTGTTGAGTGCGTATTGCATTTAGTACTAAATTTTAAATTGTGTGACATTTTAATTTGATTAAAACACTCCACTTATTTCATTTAGAAATATTTATTTTTTGTGAATTATTTCAAAGTATGTAAAAAACATGTAATCTTTTAAAACTAAGTACATTACGGTGCACGTAGGTTAAATGGTAAAGTTTTACCTACGTGCACCATAATGGCGGTTTGTGCTCCCAATAGATTCCTCCCGGAGGGAAGCTGCCAGCACGCCACCGATTGTTTAACGTCACTAGATATTGATACATACTAGTTATTGATACATGTGTTCAAGAACTACCATGAATCGATATCTAGTGACGTTAAACAATATGCAGCCTGCTGGCAGCAGCCCTCTGGGAGGAATTCGTCAAAAACACAAACAGACGCGACTGCCCCAAATTTGGTACTAAACACAACACGCATGCGCAACTCAGATGCAAGTGCTGATTGGCTAGCATATTTTGGATGATCACTCTTAGATGCATTATTATCACTTTGCCTGACTAGATGATAGCAGTATTCATAATGACTGGTCAATTTGATAAATTATTGAAATTTATTACAATGCCCGATTTTGTTGGTCATTATTCATAATGACCGGGCATTATGAATAATGTCCATATTAATCACTTTGTCCATAACATATACACAAAGTCTACAAAGACTTATATTTTAAAAATTTTAGTGGAAAGGTTTGTCAGTTGTCTCATTTACCTAGACACTTGAATACCAGAGAAGAATAGAAGAAAGATTACTGCCAAATATGTCTTTGTTGAAGGCAGCTTATGCTTGCAGTTAATGGCAATAACTTTGAATTCAGTCATCTATATGATGTGTGTTTTTTTAACTTGTTTATGGATATAAGACAACATAATATGGGGGGGTTTATATAAATTTAATGAAAACTAAATATGAACAATTTAATCATGTTTTTATTTTTAAAATAATTGGAAAGTGATTAATCTTTAAACTAGTAAGTTGATTTAAAAAAACTCTCTAATAAGACTATACCAATGAATAATTTCTCTTTTATTTTCAATTTAAATTTTAGTTGATAATGCCTTGTTAGGAGGTTACAATTTTCAACAAGTTAAACCTTAAACTTAATTTTAAATTAAGTTTAACTATTTTAAATACAGTCGACCCCCCCTATAAGATAGAGATACGTTCCATTCTCTAGGAATCCAATTTCTTACGAATCCTTCCAATTACAACCCGACACATATCAAGTTTACGGACTACGGCTGTTTGAAAGATTTTCTTCCATAAAATTAATCGATTCTAGACTAATCCGACTCAACATTTCCAAAACACGTATATATTTTTTGGAAATAATCCGTATAAACTACGCTATAAATAAAAAATTGTAGAATTACTTACAGAGTGTCACCATTCGACATTGCCATTGCTCAACATTGTTTTCGTCGCGGAACAGCTCAGCATACAGCGGCCAATTTCTAATAACTTATTTTTCTGTGAATAGTTACTTGAACTTCGGAGACATCATTAATATAAATAATTTTAATCGCCGTTGAATAAGAAATGTTTCTTGCACAAGAAATGTATAAAATTACAGTACTGTATTAGACTTACGGTACCTAATTTACATACTGTACAGACGATAGTAAACTCAACTCTCGCCTAAACTCTCCGTAGCGTGGCGCTATGGACGGCGGGAAAGTAGTTCGGCTGCCCGATGACGTTTGAGGTGTTTATAGGGAACTTTTACTATTTTTTACGGATACCGGTAGCAATTTTTTCGTAGTTTTATAGGAATCGTAATTATAGGGACCGTAATTATAGGGGGGTCGACTGTAAGTTAATTTATAAGTATTTTGAAACATATCCTTACAATGTATCCAGTACTAGACATTTTAAGAATTAGAATATTTTGCCATTTTATTATGATTTTTCTTAATTTATGAAATTTACTATAATCTTATAATTATGCATGAAAATTACAAGAAAACTTATTTATTTATTTTATTTTAGATTTTAAGATTGCTGGTTATTTAAATCTGGCTGCTGACTTCACCCATAATTTTACTGATGGATTAGCAATTGGAGCTTCTTTTCTTGCTGGAAAAAGTGTAGGGATCATCACTACAACTACTATATTTCTTCATGAAGTCCCACATGAAATTGGAGATTTTGCTATTCTTATTCAGTCAGGATGCAGTAAAAAGAAGGTACAGTATTATTATTATTTTTTTTTTATTATTATAACTAAACTAGAAAAATGATACAAGTGAGGGAATCATTGGAGTACAGTACATGAAAATGTACTCCAATGATTCCCTGTTTGGCATACATAAAAATGTACTCCAATGGTCCATGGAGTTAAAATATCTGATGATGATATTGTTATATAAGAGTTTTAATTAACAAGAGAATAAAGATACAGGTTTTGATTTTAATTTAAAATTATATTTAAATTTATAAAGTAACATACAAACTTGAAGATTTTAAGAATTTAAAGATTATAATGGAGCACTACTTATGTGCTTTTCAAGGGACTGGACCAAAATTACATAAAATCAAAGTTAAGATATGTCATTAAACAACAGAATTAATAGTTTTTATCACAAACTTACAACATTACACCACATATGCAGTTTTAAATGTTGCTGGAAAAGTTAACAACTCAAATCCATCCAACGAACAAAGCAATAATAAATACAAATACGTTACATTAACCTTGTATAGCTTTGCAGATAATATTTAGAGTGTAACACTAACATTTTCGACCCATTTCTAGGGTCTTCCTTCAGGTGTTCTATAAATTTTTCTGGTGCGATATGAGTTAGATTCCGATTTTTAAACGTTCCAGTCTCCAATGCTTCTATCTTCAAAATTTAAATCTCCAAAAGACCTGTGCCTGCGCCAGCTGTTATAGCGTCACATCATAAAACAGCCTGCCATACTCTCGATAGTTGTTTTTCGTCAATTTTAAAGACAAAAAACAACTATCGAGAGCATGGCAGGCTGTTTTATGATGTGACGCTATAACAGCTGGCGCAGGCACAAGTCTTTTGGAGATTTAAATTTTGAAGATAGAAGCATTGGAGACTGGAACGTTTAAAAATCGGAATCTAACTCATATCGCACCAGAAAAATTTATAGAACACCTGAAGGAAGACCCTAGAAACGGGTCAAAAACGTTAGTGTTACACTCTAAATATTATCTGCAAAGCTATACAAGGTTATTGTGATATATTTGTAGTTAACAACTCATTTCTGGATTTTTATTTCTGTTTCTATTAAAAAAATATACACTGGTTAAAACAATTACAGGAGCATGTGACTTTGACAAAAACGTGCAAGTCGGTGCAATAAATGAAAATATGACAACAATTTGGCACAAATGTGTAGTTTCTATTTACTACTACATATTTTACTGTATCTTATGTAACAATAACATCTGATGATCAGAACTATTTATCATAAATGATTTTCTATGCAATAGCTTTTTCTTCCCTAATTATTTTGACCAGTGTAATACTTCTTATTACATATTGCATAAATCAAAATTTTAAAACTGCTAAAAAATTTGTTGTTTTTTGTGCAAATGAAAAAATATTTTAAATTTATGTTCTCTTATTTTAAAAGAAATTCTGCTCGAAATTCTTCTTTTATTCTTTTATACAAGATTTTCTTGCCTGATGAAGATGGTAATATGTTGTTGAAAGTACTTTTATATATATACAGTGGAGCATCAATTATTCGACTCAATTGGGGACTCAGGTTGGTCGGATAACTGAAAAAATCGGATGACCAAAAAGAATGAAAAAAATACATTATTAGTATAGTATATTAGTATATCCCATGTAATTAGTATATCACTAATAATTAGTTAAATGTAATTAGTAATTAGTATATCGTTAACCTACTTCGTGTTAAATTTTCATTGATGTTAAGCCTAACAAAAATTTTTTAAAATAATAATCGTCGTTATTGTATCGTTAAAAATTATTTTTAAATTATTTTTTTGCTCACAAAACAAACAACCAATCATAATTAGAAAATTAAATGTCGTTTAAATACTGGGCTCCCTTTCATGGTTGAGCCAGTGTTGCCAGCCAAAACACGCAAAAATTTAACAAAAATAATATGAAAGTAGCCAAGACATAGCCAAATATTGTAGCGCCACATCACTAGCGGACACTTGAAATTTGCCGACTAGAAAGGTCTGTTAACCAATGTGACAGTTAATCGGGGGTCGGATAATCGGTGCTCTACTGTATTATGTTCAAAAAGTTATTAATGCTGAAAGACAATACATTTAATGTGTTGTTTTCAAAATTTTAGCATGAAGTGTAACAAAAACTTTATTATATATAACTGTGAAGTATTAGTGATCAACTAGACATAATTCATATATGTGATGAACTACAATAAAAGTCTGAAGTAATTTTTGTCTATTAAAATTAAAATACTCTCATAATGTGTGATATACTACAAAATTGTAAATTTCCCTATATTGTGATTGATTCTCAATCAATTTCTAATAATCTACAATTAATCCTTCTCTGAGAGAGAATATACTTAGTGGGATCAATTTTGTCATTTAATTCCAGAAATATAAAGAGAGGCATGCAAGAAAAGAACAAAGAATGTATTCTAGAAATTTTGAGTGTGTTTTCTAAAAGAATACTGTAGTATTAATATCTATTATTTTTTATCAGAAAGGAAATTATATATAAATAAAATGCTTTATCATTAAAAGGAATTGAAATATTTTAGGATCAATATAAACATATAAATGATNCCATAAATATATATACTGTATATAAAAAATATAAATACTCTACTATATTTTCAAATCATTACTCTTTTTTGAAGTTAAACATCTACAAACAGTTTATATTTAATTTACTATTTATAGCTTAACCAGTTTCTACTGTATATATTTTGTATTATGTTTAACTCAAATTGGTTGGGGCAAAAATTCAGACTTTGAGTTAAAAAGTTTCAAGGAATTAGAGTTAACCTGTTTGATTTAACATATTGTGCTAGATCAGCGTTTCTCAAAGTGGGCGATAACGCCCCCTTGTGGGCACTGGAGGCTTTCAGGGGGGCAGTAGAAGACTCAAAGAGAATTGGGGGGCGTTAAGGAAATATAGAGGGGCGACGGCAGACAAATTCTATATATAAAAATTTGACGGAATATATATAAAATGTTGACATTTTATATATTTTTTATTTTTTATTGAAGGTCACAACTTGAATATTTCTAACACATTGACTTTTATTTTAGCTCAGCGTTTCTCAAAGTAAGCAATAACGCCCCCTTCTGGCGCGATGAATAGATCTATGATAGAGGCAGGGTATTGAACGGTGACCAAAGGCAAAATTGGGGCTGATAAGAGGAAACATTGCGTTTAATGGTTTCCAGATGATGAGAACAATGTACAGTAAGGGCACAAAGTGTGAGATTCATAGAAAAGTTTTCCTAAGAATATTTCCAATCCTTTTCTCACACAAGAGAAAATGGGTTAGGGGGCGTTGGGTATAACTTTATGGAACAAAGGGGGCGGTGGATCGAAAAAGTTTGAGAATCACTGTGCTAGATGATTGGGGAAAGAAAATGATTTTGGGTTATCCTGGTTTTCAGTGTAATAATTGTTCTTTTAAGTGTGTTAATTAGTTTAATATTTTTGATGAGAGATGAGTGTAATATTAAAATCCAAAATGTGCCGCTCCCTTCTGTTTAGCGTTTTAAATATCTTTGGACATTTGTCGAGATGGGAGGAGCATTGAACTCAGAGGTGCAGCATGGAATTCAATTTGATGGATGAACTGGAGGAAGCTGAGTGGTGTGTTATGTGACAAGAAAGTTAGCTGCAATCTGAAAGGAAAATTGTATAAATCAGATGTTAGACCTGCAATGTTATATGGAGCTGAGACATGGGCATCCTTCTTTCTTGGACAAGAGTCCAAGAAAGAAGGATGGAGGTGGCAGAGATGAGAATGTAGAGATGGATGTGTGGAGTGTCAAGGAAGAATAGAATAAGGAATGATTTTATTAGAGGTTCTGTTAAGGTGGCAAAAAGATGCAAGAATGTAGGTTGAGGTGGTTTGGCCATGTAGAGCGAAGAAGTGACAATTATGTTGAAAAGAAGATCAGAAAACTGGTAGTAAAAGGAAAGAAGAAAAGAGGAAGACCAAAGATGCATTGGAAAGATAAGGTGGAAGAAGACTTGAACCAGAGGGGAAAGAAGAAGCCCTTGATAGGGAGAAATGGAAAAAAAGTATTAGAGAAGGAAATGACAATCCTATATAAACATGGGAAAAGATGAAGATAAAGAATAAGAATTAGTTTAATATTTTTGATATAAGAACCTTTTCTTCTGACTCTGCTTCAATTCTATTGTGATTCAACATAGTTGCACGATGTCCTAGTTAAATTTAATAATTACAAATAAATAAATTTAGTTTTAGAATATTCTGGAAGAAAAGATGGCTCAGGGTGGGAACTTGGACCTACAACTCCTGCTTATCATGCAAATGCATTTTTAGTTACTCTTTCCAGACCTCTGTCCAATCTTTGCTTTCAGACTAATTAATGTTATATCTAAGTTAAGCAATTTTAAGTCAGTCATGTCACTGACTGTGACTGGGAACAACTTACACCTATAGTTCATCATGGGTGCAATGAGATTTACAAAATGTTTAGATGTTTTTTATACATAAAACAAAATATGAATATTCAAATAAACTCACTCAGCAAACTGTAAACCACAATACAACACCTTAAGTTGCTGAGAAATTTATTAAAAAATGCAACTAGCATTTTCAGCCAATCTATTGGCCATTCTCAGGTTAAAAGAGAAAAATGAACGTATTCTAAAATATATAAATTTGAATATAACAAATTTAAATACAAAATTAACAGAAGAGCCTTTCTCTATTGCAGTAGTGTAGTTGATAGGCAGAAGGAAATCAATAGAATATTACAGATTGCCAGAATGCTACGATACAAAGCGGATATGCTAACAGCACTGATCAGAAGCTACAAAATAAGGACAACAAAGGCTACATGCTCGATTTAGGTAAAATCACAAAGTTCACTTACGATAGAAGTAAGAAAGCCATCATGAGAGAAATTCCAGACTGCAAAAAATCCAAATTAATTTTCAAGAGAGCTCTCAACCTATACAAGATATTAAGGAATGACAAGGACAACATTGATAAAGAAGGAAGAACGGGAGTGTACAGGATTCCATATGAAAACATGGAATTAGGTATCAAGAAAAACTACATTAGTGTTACTACAAGAAATTTGGGAGTCAGATTGAGAGAGCACAAATACAATGTCAGTAAGGGATCTAATGCCACAATACTATCTCAGATGGTGCAGGCTGAGGTCTCCATAGTAAAATGGGAGAAAGCAAATATTGTTAAGCCCATGCACTCCCAACTTTGGCAATGAGTGCAGAAAAGATTGAAATTTATAAGAGCAAGCTGCATGATACATGCATTAATGCTAAGGATGCTGAAGGGTTACCATCTGCATGGGAGTACTTAATTAAAAAGTTTGAGTGCTCATAATTTATGCTTTGATTTTTTGTTTATGCATTTTTTCATATATTTTATACGATGATATTATATAATGTTATAATAGTTTGTTATTTAATTTTATCTTATATGTTTATTTATATATGTATAATTTGTTATAATATTTTTAGATAATACAAGAAATTTCATTTTATGTTATATTTCTTCTGTTAATTTTGTATTTAAATTTGTTCTATTGTTCCATCAAATTTATATATTTTAGAGTACGTTTATTTTTCTCTTTTAACCTGAGAATGACCAATAGATTTGGCTGAAAACGTTAGTTGCATTTTTTAATAAATTTCTCAGCAACTTAAGGTGTATTGTGGTCAAAATATGAATATTTACAAATGCATGTGACTTATCATAAATGATTAAAAATTTTTAAAGGAAAAAAGGGGGACTAAGTTTTAAAATTAATTTAGATTTGAAAAATGTTCTAATCACATATTTAAAAAAAATTCACTCTAGAAGTGATTTTTGACTGTTTGGATGATTTCCTTTCTCTTTTACATTTTTGGGTTGTCAGCCTTAGCTTTGGTGAGACTTTTCTTGACTAACTTTTGTTACCTTTTTGGCTTCAGTTTACTTGCAATTTTCTTATCTTAAGTCAGATTTAGCTTTAGGTTTAGCTTTAGTCAGGTTTAGCTTTAGGTTGTTTCTTGGATACTGCTTTCTGAACAATTTGCTCTCTCTCTTCTTTCTATATTTTACTGTGACTTTAAAGGATCCATTCACTTCTTTATCTTTAGTTTGAATGAGAGAACCATCCATCATGGCTGTCTTAAAGTATTTACAGATGAAAGATAGTAATTTCTTGTAGTCCACTTTATACATTATTCGATGTTGATGCAATGTACTTTACATCTTGATGGCTTAAGAGAACCTCTGTGATCTTTCAACTAAGTGATGGCTATGTTAACTATTTGTGATATTTTGGATGATTGGGCTTAATTTTTGACTTTTGTTGAAGGTTTTTTCTGAGAAAAAGTGCCATTTCAGTTGCTACAACTTCAGACATCTTTAATTATGAATGATTTAAATTTACTGTGAATGTACATTAACATTTATTAATATTTGTTAGGCAAGGAGAATCGTGGGTTCAAAGTTGCCCCCAGTTGGCACTGTAAGTGACCAGTATATTTTATCTTAATTAGTTAATTAATTAAAGAGAAACAAAACACCTTTTTTTGCCGAGAGATAAATATAATTGTAAAAAACAAACAAACGTTTTCAGCCTAATTAATAGGCCATCTTCAGGTTGAAAACGAAAATGGAACGTAAATGTTCCATGAATAGAACATAAAAATTTTAAATCAAAAATTTTTATGTTATGTTTACTAGAAACTTGGACCAGAATTAGTACATTGAAGATTTATGTTATTTTTGTTTTATTATTTGTTTTATTTTAATTTTTATATATTCTTCTGTTATTTTTCTCTTGTAAAAAATTTTTNGAATTAGTACATTGAAGATTTATGTTATTTTTGTTTTATTTTAATTTTTATATATTCTTCCGTTATTTTTCTCTTGTAAATTTTTGATTTGAAATTTTTTATGTTCTATTCATGGAACATTTACGTTCCATTTTAATTTTCGACTTGAAGATGACCTATTAATTGGGCTGAAAACATTTGCTTTTTACAATTATATTTATTTCTTGGCAAAAAAAGGTGCTTTGTTTCTCTTTACTTAATTGCTGAGCGTTTTTGGTATTGTTAATTAATTAGTCTGGAAGTGAAGATCAGACGATGCCCAGGTAATGCAACTTGTAACACATTTTGCATAAGAAGGGGCTGCATGTTCAAGTCCTGCTTCAATACAATATTTTCTTCCAGAGTATTCTAAAATAAAATTAAATTTATTCATTTATAATTATTAAATTTAACAATAGATGGTGGCATAACCATGTACAGTATCTTCTACCAAATTATTTATTTAGTCTTAATAGTCTTATATAGGAATCTGGCTATATGCTATTTGAAGAATATTTCATAATTTTTGAATTATATTTAACAGATGTTATATATCCTCAAAATTAATATTATATTAATTATAAAAATACAATTTTTGTTTTATTGATTATGATAATTTTTATTTTTATTGTACAATTACAAATGAGTTAGCTTTTTATTCTTTCTTATCAAAAAATAATTAATAATTTAATTTTATTCATTTTAAAATTCTGTTCTGTTCATCCTTCAAATTTTAATCATGCAAAATATTTGTTATATGATGTAATGATCATGTTAATATACATAAAAAAGAACATGTATTTAAGTTCAATGTATAAAATACAACAAACTTAGTTATTTGGGTTAACATTAGTTAATACAAATATTCATATTCTAATTCATTCACATACTATATATAATAATTGTATAATATAATATATATTCATAAAAATTAGTTAAGAATAGGAATGTTGGCTTTTTAACTTTGTATAGTACATACATGTGTGTACATAAACACATATTATCTAATTTTAAATAATAATTTTTATAAATTATTAAGTTTGTCTAATTAAATTTTATTTTTATACATTGCAAAATAAAGTTGATTTTTATTTTTAAAAATTGTATAAATAATTTGCTAGTGAAATGAGTTAAAAATTAATAAGTTATACTAAATATAATTTTATACAATAACTGGGGATAATAAATTATTTATAATATTATGTGATTTGTTATTTTATGCAATGTTTGTATTTATTTATAAAAGTATCTATTCCAGAATTTAATATATATTTAGAAAGGAATATAAGCAATAATACCATTGTATGTTATGCTAATTAAATTACCATCAAAATATTTTAAAGTTAATGCAATATATTTATTTTTATAAATAAAGCATTAATTATTATTTATACTGTGGAATTAAATTATTGGCTTTGTTTAAATAAGACTAAATTAAGATGAAGCATATTTAATTATTTTTTTATTTTAAAATATACTCTGTAAATATTTCATTGAGATTCTCTTTCATTTTTAGGCAATAATGTTACAGTTAGTTACAGCAGTTGGTGCTTTATCTGGAACTGTCTGTAGTCTTCTTGCAAATGGAGTAGGAGACACTGCTACAACATGGATATTACCTTTTACTGCTGGAGGATTTATTTATATTGCTACTGTTTCTGTGATTCCAGAACTATTAGAAGATACTAAATTTTGGCAGTCGGTAAAAGAGGTAGTTGCATTGTTATTGGGAGTAATAATGATGATTTTAATAGCTGAGTTTGAATAAATAAAATGTTATTTTTATTGTTATTTTATTTCATCTAATTGTGATGAACATATGAATATTGAACAAAATTTTTCCATGTATGAGACCATTGTGCAGCAAAATAAATTATAATTTGTTTCATTTCAATATAATATGTAATAAAAATAATTTTTTTTTATGATTGTAAGTTCAAAATTATTGTATTGAAAAAGTCATTTAAAAATCTTTATAAAATCATGCTGCTCTCTCAATGTTTTAAAATTATTTGAAAAGTTTGAATTATGAATTGTTGTTATAAATTAGAAATGTCATATTTAAATTTACTATCTTATTATATCATAATAAAAGATTTCATTTTTAACTTATATAAGGATATAAACATTTATTTTTATTTTCAGATATTAATAAATATAATTTTTATGAGAATCTTTTTTTGGTTGCTTTTATTAATTGTAATATCTATATTTTAGTTTGAAATAAAGAAAATTTAACTTTTGTACTTATAATGATTATATAAAGTATAAAATTTATTTTAAAATTTATATTAATTATTTGTAAAAGAGATCTAAAATTTTAATTATTTCATTAAAGAAAGTCTTTACTTAAATTTTTATTCTGTATGTGCTGCAAATTCCTAATTGCTGAAAACATTGTCTTTCAGAAATGAAATACATTCAATATATTTAATTTTTATTTTTCTTCTGTGTATTCTTTCTGTATTTTATTTCGCAGTTTTTTTTATTTCTTATTTTCTGTCATTAGAATTTGGTGAGTGATTTTATAGAGAGTAATTTCTTGTTATTTATTGCCGAATTGATGATAAACTTTTACTTTTAAAAAATTGTATATTCTTTTTGCACATGACAGTTTAATATGTTGAAAACAAAATGGCAATATAATTTTAAGTTTAAAATTTTTGCAAAATTTGTCTTTAAAATTATCATTTTTATTTTTAAAATTTTAATTGAAAATTTAAATTAAACATTTGATTTTAACAAATAAAATATAAAAAATTTTTTAATGTGTAATTTCCAACATTTTATTTAAGTTTAGTAAGATTTAAGGAAAGGAAATTAGTCATCTGATTTCAAATATTTATCCCATATAAAAATGTCAATAAATGCTTTTTGTTTTCTATATTATTGTCTTATATATTGGAAGCAAGATTAACAATATTTTATATTAGTTTTTTGAATATTTTATGAAGAAACAATTTATTCTTATCAAGCAGTGGATTATTATTTTTTTATTGTATTCTAATTAAGTGCTAAAGTAACATTAGTGTGAATTACTGTTAACTTTTTAACAAAGCAAGTTTATGTGAACCTTTTGGTATATTTGTTGTAATATATTTTCAAATTGAATCACATAGATATATTTCTAATGTAAAGATCTTGCAAAATCTACTATTCAAAAATTAAACAGAATATTTTATTTATGCTGAATATTAATTTAGATAGATGTAAAGGGTCCTTAATACAGAAATAACATTTTATCACTACATAATTAAGAATATGGTATATATATATATATATATATATACACAACTCAATTCCAAGGCAGTTAATAACATTAATCAAAAATAACTAGAATAATTTTGAAACTTTTATAAAATAAAAGTGTTAATAATAAAATCATTGAAACAATGAATAAATTTTCTTTATTTTTTAAATAATTCACAGTAAATGTGGAAATTTTATAAAATGTTCTATGACTATTAAAAAAAAAAAAAAAA